AAAAAATTATCAATTTTAAAAAGAACTCATCCACAATGCAGTCTGCGTTGCATAGCACCCGATGTTCCACAATTTCGTGCTACGAAATATTCGAATTGCCTTCTCTAAGGCAATTAAACATCAGTACTCTAAAAGTTGTGATTCGATGAACTTGCATGTCATGGGGAAAGCTTTGGAGGCCGAGGTCAATATAAAAAAGAAGTAGCATGGCTACCCACCACCACTTCACAATGCAACACCTTTTTAAAAATCAAATGCAAAATTCCAGAACGATGTACAACTAAAAGACACATTCACCCTTCATTTTGCGATCCAGGGTAAAAAACTACGTCAGCAAGTGGGAAAGTAGAAAACGGTGTCTACTGAGGCGTCACAGTAGCACAGCCTCCCTCCTGTTACCCAAATGTCACGGCACAGAAACTGTGACTCGTGACATTGGGTCCATTTACAGCCACCTCCCAACCCAAAGACATGCGATCCTCGTTTTTTGCTCTTTTCAATGCTTGTTCATAACTTTGGCGCATGATTGCCTATCAGTGAATTATTTGGACGACGACGATTTACTTACATACATCCACTCACAAAATCAGTAACTTTCTGGTGGACTACTCCTCGCTATGGTATCAAACTAAACTCAGTTGCTAAAGGGTTTGCTCTAGATCAACTGTTCCTCCCCAACACCGGAGAGTGTTGAAGGCGAGATTGATCCTAGGCCTATCCTCACACCCTAATTCGGTGTACAATAACTTTGCGAGCTTAAATACATGTACCAAAATACAAATTTACATTCAGGTGTTATGTAGCAGCGTCATATTTGGTTGGAGAAATTCTCGTCCATGGCGCATTTTCATTTCAGAGCATCTAGTCCTCATCAAACACAATTTGCGTTGGTTTTGGCAGTCCGTTATCCACCACCGCTGCCACGATCGGCTTCTGGAGCTGAGCTGGTTGGTGTTGTTGTTGATCTGCTTTCCTCCTACGTTTGGCCACCTGAGCTCGCCGTCGCCGCTCCGCACCGCCCGCCTTTGCCACCGCAATAGCTACACAGTATTCGCGTTCCCTCTGGCCCTCAAG